TTCGGATCGGTCTTTACCAATGCATACACGGCATTTGATGTGTTTTGGAAAGTATTCTAGTTCTGTGGGTAAAACAAAAAAATGGCTAAAGTCAGTTTTCAAGTTTGAAAACGTGTTTGGTTAAATTATTATTTTTTCTTCTTATATGATGATCAGTTTGTGACGAATGACACAACATGTAATAATCGACACTAAATGTTTTGTATGAAGTTTAGTAAAAAAAAACACAACACAAGTTACCAATAGTTACAACACATATGCGTTTTTTGTTGTGGGTATAGTTTTCTATATTTAATGATAGATTCCTATGTAGAAAACATATCTGCTAGCAAGCCCGAGTTGCGTATGGCTCACAGTCTTCTTATTACACGTTTGAAGGTTCGTTAATTTTTATATGCCCGAGGAGTTACTTACGTCGGCCATTCCTTTCCTTGTGATTCACTTCATCTGCTAACTTCAAGGTCAAGTACTAAGAAAAGGGAGAATTTTTTTAACTATAATATAATAAGAAGAAGGATCTCTACTAGTATTAGTTTACTTTCTATGGCTCAGGAAAGTGCACTTCAGCGGGTTTTATGTCCTGTTTGCAAACACTAATACCTAGATAAGTACAAACAGTAGCTTATTTCGTCCATAGTATTTAGAAAACATACTTTCACATATGTGGTTCGAAAAACAAAATTTGAATTGATTGCACTGGCTTCTTTATGTTTTTGGATGTCAGCTGCTTGTAGCATACGTGTAAATAGCATAAAGGCCTAAACATATTACACTCCAAACAGATGCAATGCATAAAAATCCGGAAAGACGGTTTTCAGATTACACATAACATTTGAAATCACTGTTAATTTCACACTTCCATAATTAGTTTAAAATATATTTTAGTGAAGTATAATGAGGTAGTTTTTTTCCAATTTTTCATGTTGATGTTTTGCATGTAGTTAATTTTTTGTTTGTAATTAAGCACAAAGCTACACAATGGGCTATCTGTGCTCTGTCCACCCTGGGTATCGAAACCCGGATTCTAACGTTGTAAGTCCGCAGAAATGCCGCTTGTGCCACTGGGGAGCTGCATGTAGTTAATGTAGTTAATGGCATTCGTTTAAACCGGATGTCAAAGAGTCGTAAACATGTATTTATCCTTTTGCTAAGGTAAAGGATACATACGGTTACGGATATCTCACCGAAGGTTGTGCCAGTTTGACCTTATGTTTGTGTTCACTTCATTAACAATGCTATTTTAGACTTATTGTTAACTTCAAATACAGAAATTATTGAGAGGGTGGAAATTGGGTAACATCTGGGTGCATGTGATTGCTGCTCTATTAGGTTCAATGTTTTGCTGCATATGGAAATAAATAATAATATTTTGGTTACAAATTTCAAAAAAGCAAATTTTGAAGGGATGCGACAAGAGTTATCTGTTGTGAATTGGGCAGCTGAGTTATTTGGAGACAATGGTTAGATGTGGAAAATTTTTACAGGTAAATTTTATATATATTAAATGTAAACATTTTCCTAATAGAAAAAAAAGGGTAGCTACAAATAATAACCAGGTTGGCTCGCAAAGAGTTTAAGAAATAAAATTAAAGAAGCATAATAAATTTACGAAATTTAAAATGGACGGTATCACAGGAGACTTAGAAGATTTTAGAAGATCAAGAAAGTTGGTGAAACAGGGAATTAGGACATCAAACAGGATGTACGAGAAAAAATTGGCTGAAAATGTAAAAATTAACAGTAAGGATTTCTTTAAATACATAAGGGGAAACAAAATGTTAAGATAGGACCCTTGAGGGATGATAAAGGAAGACTAGTATCTGATGATTATGAGATGGCTGGGTTATTAAATTTTACTTTTTCTTCGGTTTTTACTAATGAAGATTTAATGCAGTATTCCACATCTTGATCGGTTGATAAATGGAAACGAGATCAAACAAGATAACTGCATTAATTCTGAGCTGGTTAAAGAAATTGGGAAGTTTAAAAAATGATAAAGCTTCTAGGCCAGATAATATTTCCCCAAGGGTTTTGAAGGAGGTTAAAGATCGGATATGTGAGCCACTTGCTACTATTTTTTGTTAGTCCTTGAATAGTGGGCAGGTACCACAGGATTTGAAGTTAACTAATGTAACTCCTCTTTTCAAGGGAGGTGACAAAAATTGTCCCAGTAATTATAGACCCATTAGTCTTACATCAGTTGTGGGAAAAATTTTGGAAAGTCTGTTAAAAGA